ATACAGTAAAACTGCACATTTTAGAGTGGCCTTTTATTGTGGCCAGCCTAAGGCACACCTGTGCTATAATCATGCTGTCTAATCAGCATCTTGATATGCCACACCTGTGAGGTGGATGGATTATCTCGGCAAAGGAGAAGTGCTCACTAACACAGATTTAGACAGATTTGTGAACAGTATTTGAGAGAAATAGGCCTTTTGTGTACATAGAAAAAGTCTTAGATCTTTGAGTTCAGCTCATGAAAAATGGGGGCAAAAACAAAAGTGTTGCGTTTATAATTTTGTTCAGTGTAGGTTACTTTTTTAAATAATTTTAAAAAACACTGACCTGTGACAGAAGCTCCCCTCTCTCTGCCATGAGGACATTCTGTTTCAGTTCAACTGGCAAATCATGCATTAAAAAATGTCCTCCTGGAAAAGCTTCACCTCTGATATAATGAAAACAAAAAGGTCAACAAATAAGGCTAATCAGTGTTGCTACGATTTTCCAGAATCATTGGACACATTTCAAATTTGCACCAGCTCAGCAACTGCCATTGAGAGTGATTGGAATGCTAACAGATAACCATAATTCTAATCTCCTTGGCTATAACCAATGCTGCACAAATTTACAAATATTGCAGTGGAAAAAGGCAAAATAAGTTAAATCATACTGATATTTGGCCCACAGGAGATCCATATAATTCATGACTCTGTTCTGTAGGAAAACTGTGAGGTCATGTCGCTTCATGAAGTGACGCATTTCTGAAAAAAGGTTCTGGAAAGCCACCCTATGCAGAAAAAAAGAGCATCAATATGTGCATAAATTCAACTGAGAATTTAATCAATTTTCACACCACATTTTCTCAGAATTTCAGCATAGGTATCCAACCATCATCCAATTTCAGTCTTTCAGTCAATTTTAATAAATTATGTAACAACTGTTTTTTGCCTTTGTAGGACAGAATACTTTATTATTCTAAAATTAATATTCTAAAATTCTGATTTCCATGGACATGGACATCTTTAATCAGATCTTTAATCAGCTTAAATTTAGTATCTGCAATCAAAAACATTTACCTCTTAGCATTTTCACCAGATAGAGTGGCAGAAAGCTGGCTAATAATATAGTTAAAAACCAGCAAGGCAACAATACCAACAACTGCTGCCAGACACTGTTCTACCAAAGAGCCAGGTACAATGTCTCCATATCCTGAAAAATAAATGTTGTGTCATAATGCTTAGTCCACTTTTGTATCATCAAAAAGAAGCCTATCCCAATCTCACAGGGATCATACACAGACAATTCACCAATACTGCATGTCTGGAGTGCCTGGAGTGCCTGGAGAAAACCTACAAAACATCACTGTCGCAGTTAACATTTTGGTTTCTTTTATAATTTTGTCTATTTCAATCAGACAATGGCAGGTGGAGATTGAGAAAATGCTGTGCTGAAAACTGCTCAGGATACTTAGGCCCAATCCCAATTCTATTTTATACCCCCTCACCGACCCCTGCCCTAAGGAATGGGACACCACTACTACACTGTTACACGTCATCATATGTTGTCGTCTAGCTCCTAAAATACACACACCTATACTGGTGTGCATTAGAGCCTTTAATTACGTTCTATATTAATTTTACAGCAACGAGAGGATAAAATCGCTGTTTTTGAAGTAAACTCACTCAAAGAGAGACACACAGACATGAAACTTTCATCTCTCTCTGATGAGACATAAAAATATGTTGTGGCACTCAGGGCTGTCCTTAGCTGACACGGGGCCCGGTGCAAGGTCAGTTTGCAATCGCATTCCGGGGGGTGGGGGTGGTGGGAATGGGTCCCCCGCGGTCTGTTCACCG